GGGGGGAAAAGGAGATTCCTGAGTGGGAGGGATGAGACTGAGCTGGGGGAGATCGACCGCGCCCTCGGCATCGACAAACTCGTGCAGGTGGGATGGGGGAAAAAACGGGAATTCTGGGGGAAAAAACAGGGAAAAAATTGGGGAAAAATGGGGAAAAAAATGAGGAAAAATGGGAAGAAAAACGGGAAGAAAATGGAGGAAAAACGGCGAAGAAAGGGGGAAAAACAAGGAAGGAATGGAGGAAAAAATTGGGGAAAAATGGGGGAAAAAGGGGAAAATACCAGGAAGGAATGGAGGGAAAAAAAGGGGAAAAAATGGGGAAAATGGGAAAAAAACGGAGTAAAAAATCCGGGAGAAAATGGCAAAAAAAAAACAGTGAAAAAAGGGGAAAAAACAAGGAAGGAATGGAGGAAAAAAACTGGGAAAAAATGGGGGAAAAAACAGGGAAAAAACCAGGGTGGAATGGGGGGAAAAGGGGGAAAAATGGGAAAAAAACGGGGAAAAAAACAGGGAAAAAAAGGAGATTCCTGGAATTCCAGGAATTCCCAGGGAATTCCAGAGGGAACAGGGAAAGGATTTTGGGATGAGATCCCAAAGAAAATTTTTGGGTTTGAGCTCCCAAAGTTTTTATGGTCGGACAATGAAGGGATTTTGGCATCCAGGGGGATTTTGGGATTGGATTCCAAAGGGATTTTTGGGATCAGTTTCCAAAAAAGATTTTGGGATTTTGGGATCCAAAGAGATTCTGGGATCAAGGAGATTTTGGGATTGGATTCCAAAGGGATTTTGGGATCCAAAGAGAATTTGGGATGAGGCTTTGAAGGGCATTTGGGATCCCAAAAGATTTTGGGATTGGATTCAAAAAGGATTTTGGTATCCAAAGGGATTTTGGGATGGGATTTCAAAGAGATTTTGGAATGGGATTTCAAAGAGATTTTGGGATGGGATTTCAAAGGAATTTTGGGATGGGATTTCAAAGAGATTTTGGGATTAGATTTCAGAGGGATTTTGGGATCCAAAGGGATTTTGGGATGGGATTTCAAGGGGATTTTGGGAATAAATTCCAAAAGGATTTTGGGATCCAAAGAGATTTTTGGGATGGGATTTCAAAGACATTTTGGGATGGGATTTCAAAGGGATTTTGGGATCCAAAGGGATTTTTGGCATGGGATTTCAGAGAGACTTTGGAACGGGATTTCAAGGGGATTTTGGGATGGGATTTCAAGGGGATTTTGGGAATAAATTCCATAAGGATTTTGAGATCCAAAGGAGTTTTGGGATGGGATTCCAAAGAGATTTTGGGATTAAGTTCCAAAAGGATTTTGGGATCCAAAGGGATTTTGGGATGGGATTCCAAAGGGATTTTGGGATCCAAAGGGATTTTTGGGATGGGATTCCGAAGGGATTTTGGGATCCAAAGGGATTTTTGGGATGGGAATTCCAGGATCTCATTCCCACTTTTTTCCCCCCCGCAGGGCGGTGGCCTGGAGGCGCTGACGGAGCGATTCCAACCCCACCAAGCCACGCCCCCTCCGCTGCTCCTGGAGCAAAAACCGGGAATGTT